CTGTAATATATAATAAGTATATAAATGTACAGGAATGCAGTGCGCAATTATTAATTTTTCATCGAATGATTAGATATATTTGTTTATATGATGTAAAAATATAAATTAATGCAGCTCACAATTATTCATGGCTCTAAAGAGTTTTGCATTTTTGAAAAAATAACTGTATAGTTTTGTTGCTCGCGAGAGTAAAGTTATTTCGAATCGTTTCACCTGGTTTGTATCGTAAATAAGTATCTGCATCTATCCATTTTGCAGCAAAAATGAAAAACAAGACCCTGGAAGAAAAAAGAAAAGAAAATGTTACGTTAATGTAGAGTTACATGTAAGAGACCTTTGTCGAAGGAATTTATATCTAAAAATGGACCTTGAAATGTTTGATATAGTAAAAAGTGTTTACTAAACTAAACTTAACGAACTAACAAACAGAAGTTCCAGAAACATATTTCGGTCTACTTCAGTCTAAGTTCCTCAAACGTTTCAATTTTACTACCAGAGCTAATAAAAATTTAGCTCTCGAGTCGATGACATTTCTGCTCAATTTTGTTCGTATTTCAAASCTTTTTGGTCTGAAACTCGAAAAACGAGAAGCTAGACTTTGTTAAATTTCAAAATAGAAGTCTTTAGGGCTTCTCATGATGTTTGGTGAAGTTCCAAAAATATGTTTTAAGAATACAAATTTCTTCAACTTACCTATTCGAAATTCGCGCTGTGAGTGAACATTGGCTTGCATGTGGTGCTATGAAAATCCTGTTAAATGTCACCGAGGAAAATTAGCCAATGGGAAAGCAATAGTAATCTCATGATGTCATAACCAACCAATAGGGATTCATAGCATCCTGTCAATTATTTCTTGCACGTTTGTATTTCCACCTCAGACTTTTCACACTGTTGCTGATGGGCATGAATGAAATGTTTTCAAAATACGCGTTTTTGAATAAACTGAGAGAAATATTGATGTTTGTAATTGTTCTCTTTGAATACTTCATCAAAACGTTATCAAGAAGAGGCATAAAGGTATTGACTTACGCCGGAGAACATATCCATCATATTTAATCAGTGAAAAGAAGAGAAAAAAATCAGACTTTTTCTCGATGGAATTTGTGGCATTCCTTTTGTATTTCCATGTTGACATTAGCCTCACCTTCAAGACAATAGGACGTTTGAATGATGGCGCCATTTGACTCACTACTCGAAGATGCTTCGCGAATTTTCTTGCTTATTCAAATTCGTATTCCCTCATGAGAATAGTAAGACAATTGGTGCTAATTAACTGAACAAAAGAGAGTGTCAAGTGAGTCTGGTAGTAGAGGTCAATGAGGCCATCATGCAAACGTCCTATAGAAGAAGAGTCCATATTGGAAGATCAAACCTTGATATCTCCAAGACGCAGCACTCAAATCATACAAAAAATATTTTACCATTGAACTAAGCACTTTAATTGTGGAACCAGGCATTATTTAAGTCGAAGGGGAGGGGAGGGGAGGGAGGGGGGTGGAGGAGAAAATGGGGGGCCCTCAATTTTTTTTTAGTGGAACATGGTGGGTTTGAAAGGTCAAAAGGAGGATTTGGAGGATATTTTAAACGATCCAAGGGGGCTACCCGAAAAACATGAATGTTATTAGGTTAGCATTAGATTGGGCTCTGGAAAATTTGTTGCCCCAAAAACATTTTCTCCTCCTCCTCCACCCCCCNCCCCCCCCGACTTAAATAATGACTGGTCCCTTAGAATCAATACTGAAAATGTTCAGTTAAGGGTGAGCGTCACATTAAGGATAAAACRAGACTTAATGACTCGCTCACAATTCAATGCCATTTAATATCAATCTTATTAAACATCAGTTCTATGATTGTTCAAATAATTAAATAAAATAAGGCATTTATAAAACCCATCGATTAAAACTATCTATAATAAAAATAGCTCAGCCACCACAGGCTTATTCCCGATATATTAGTATTTTAGTAAATGCACGCTTTTTTAGCAATAATTTTTGTTAATTCAAGTGCTTTTAAGATCACTTAGAACAGTTAGCGTAAATCTTCTGGAGAATTCTAATGACTTAAGTATTCTACCGCTTCGAGGGTGCAGTAATAGGTTCAAGAAAATCATACAACTTGTCGCGCGGCTTTCTTGCGTTGTGTTGCGTTGCAATTTGCAAGACAAGCATTACTTCCATTACCACTCTACGCCCACAAAGTTTTCTTCAGACACACGGCGTAACACTGCGCGCAATGTTGCATGCAATTGATGTTGCAAGCCATGACATACGATGCAATTTGTTGCACGCAACGTTGCTGAAGTAGAAAACTATAGGTGCTGACACACGGCGCAACATTGCATGCAATATTGCACGAAACCGGACTGTATCAGCGTGTCTACCCCAAACTTGTTGCATGCAACAAATCTGAAGTTGAATCGCGCTCTACTCTTGCAACATTGCGCGCAATAAAATTTCATCATATGAACATGGCTGCAACATTACCTGCAACATTTTGAAATTTCCAGCCAATCAGCTTGCATCAAATTTATAACTTCTGACCATATATCTTAACATAGCAGGCTGACACGAGCGATGTTGCGTGATTTTGTCGCAATGTTGCCTGCAATGTTGCACCGTGTGTCTGTACCTCAAAGAGGGCTTCTGCGTCGTGCAATGAAAATTTGTTGCGCACGAAGCAATATCATACAAACGATCACTGGTAAAATGGGAACTATTTGCCTATTTCCCCATAGAAAAATAGGATTAAGGTCACTGGGAATGGAAAACAACTAAAGTGGAATAAGAAATGTTGGGATGTATTCCCGCTTCTATATAATATATATTACAACTATCGYGGGGTTTCACTCGATAATGTCATTTGGCGTCCATTACGTACGACTGCTCTTTATTTTCCATTTCCTTTTTATTAAAACTAAAATCTCCCCGTCAGACCAGTTGAATCAAAAGAACAGTTTCTAAACACAAATCAATTATTCCCAGCCCTCTGTACATCTTCTATAATTTTCAAGCTTTAAATGAATCTGAAACGTAAGAGAAAAGTGACTGTTATACGAAAACCATGATTCATTGTTGAATGTCGGCATTGCCAAAGCGCATATCCAAGCTTCCATCTAGCGATTATTCTTTATATTATAATACACTCAACACAATTACTCGATTCTGATTGGGGAAGAGTACAATTAAATCCCAAGTTGTACTCTKTAGAGTCCCAATTAAGTTGCTCAATTTTGTCATAGTTAATAGAGGGGAATGGTTAGGAAGCCTATTGTTATCAGGTCTTTGTTCGCTTTTGATGTTGAACCGGTCTTGACCGTGCAMTATGTTTGATTTATGCTCATCCGAAATTGCAAAATAAGTAAACATAAACTTTGTCTATGGGATTGTCGTAAGGAATATTCAATTATCTCTCATAAATCTTTAAGTATCTTGAACTAGCAGCCAAAACAAAGATTTTGGTCTGTTCACTCAGCCATTGCCAACAATGGTAAAACAATGTTAAAACAAAGGATTGTGCACGGTCACGCTTGAAAAAAGGGGTTCCTAACCATTCCCCTCTATTAACTATGATTTTGTTGAGTGTATTATAAACAAAAAAATCGCACAATCTTCTCGTACAATTCTGAATTTATAGATACTCGTAATGTTTTGAAAGTTCTCAAACTGAACTCACCTAAGGCTCGTCCAATTTTGAAAGCGTTCGAAATATCACTCGTATCTATGAATTCAGAATGGTTCTCAAGGTCATGAGATTTTCTATACTAATTAATGCAATCACACCAGCTGATCTAAAATAGTAACTCAAAAATAACACCACTGCAAAACTGAGGTATCATTAAACTTCACGATATTGACCAGCAAAAAATAGAAACATGCCCGCCATTGCAATAAAAACATAAAACTTATTAATTATTGTATCACTGTTATCAAGCGCTTATTAGAAACAATTTGTCTTCATTTGTTGGCCTGTAAACTATCATTACAAGAAGAAAAGCGACACCTCAGTTTTGCCAATTTTCTTGATTCTGATTGGCTAGCTTTTTTTCTCAGATCAGCTGGCATATGGAGATTTAAATCGAGGCCTGCATTAAAATTTACAAACTTGGACTATAATTAATTTGGGGGTGGGACGTGTGTGTGTGTGGGGGGGGGGGGGGGTGTCCCTTTTGGGCCGCTACGTAGGCGCTAAAATAAATCAAATCTTCCAACCTCAGTTAGAACCTAGGAGCTAGTTTGACTGTAATAAGGATGATTAACATCAAATGAACACAGCAACTTGTCATATACCTGTCGGGGACGCATTAATTCTCTCGTCTTCTGAATGAATCAGAGATGAAGCAGCCGATTCATCATACACATATCTTGGTGGAAAACACAGTCTTCTGCACATGAATAAAGCCAATAAATTATTAGATAGTATTCAAACCATTTTTTGATGATAATAAATATATACATCTAATTGAAAAAACGCTGTCGGGTTCAAAAAAGGTTATATCATCAAAGCTAAGACCGAGGGGGAGCATGGAAAGACAAACAATTGTGCTAATTTCATGCGTATTGCAGTTTTCCCTTCCTGGGCACATTTTATGCATCATGGCTTTGGCATGTTGTCAATCTAGGTCAACCGACTTTGCTCTACTGTGCATTTTTACATGTTTACATGCAAATATAATACACATTTCGGAGTACCCAAAATCCTTTTCGGTCTTAGCTTGGATGATATGACCTTCTCGAACCCGACTACGTTTTTTCAATTAGGTGTATGTGACCAATAATTCAATACATACCTGAAGAATTCTATTGTTGGAGGGATAATAATGCATACGAAACTCATAAATGTCTGAAAAAGATAAAGCATATTTACAATCAATAGGCCCTTTGCAGCTCAGTAATCGCGTGCTGATTAATTCACTGAGAGCAAATGAATGAACATCTTGATTCCCATGGGTTAAATATACTGGTGGGCAAACAAACTTTCTAGAACCTGTTTCGAGAGATCGTAATAAAACTGCATTTCGTGACACACTGGTTACACATCGTTTCATTCAGTTCTTTACAAGTAGCTAAAAAGAATCACCAATTTAAAAGAAAATAAAAAATTTTGCTCACCAGTACAGACACGTGACCGTCAACTGCAAAGGGCCTATTACATTGTTACACACCCCTTGATTGAGCTTATACTTGGGGGATTGGGGTGGGGAGAATGGCACAACAAAGAGAATGTGAAGTAACTCACCATGATCATGAGRAAGTAGAAGACATCAGCCCAGGCACCCTTGTTGTAGTTGTTGATAATTGGGATTAAAATCTAATAAAAAAATCAATAATATTCAGATATTTAAAACATGTGTCACCATTAAAAACAATAAAGATTTAAAGATGTTTATGTTGCTTGCTTTTGTTGCTTGCTATAGTCTCCGTGCACTAATTCTTTATCCAGCACAGGGTCAAAACAATTGTCCTACTTCATTATGACGTCACATCAAAACAATCTATTGTTTAAACGCAAAGGATCATGGTTGTCGGAGGGGATCAAATCAACGCAAATTTCACCAAAAATTGTTCTAAAACCCGTATCAATCCACGAAGAGAAGTAGAATAGCCAGCAAACGCTCAGAATATTTTTTAGTACATATTAACACATATTATATCTGAAAACCAGGCCATTTTAGATTAAACTGTTTCACTAGGAGCAAATTTTGTTGAATTTTCTATTGGATTTGGTGATTCTGTCCCCCACATAAACAAGCAGTGACGTCATAGTGAAATAGGGCAATTAAGCCTTCTTTTCTTGAGATTTGAAAACATTTCTCATGTAATTTTTTTATTGTTTTGTACCCTAGAATGACGTCAAATGCAAGGGGTCTATTAAATCCATGTGAATGATCATTGTTTCTTTTAAGCAAATTTTTGTCAGAAAGAAACAACAGTTGAAGCTCAAGGTGGGAGTTGGACCAGTCATATTCAGATTGCTAGTCAGACGCTCAAAACAACTGAATTACGTAAACTCATGTTGATATATTTTTTCCAATTTGTGAATCATAATTCACATTTTTAGGAAAGTTCTTTAATAATCTTAATAAAGCTCCTCTTTCATAGTTGGCTGTGGGTGTGGATGGCTTCACCAATATTAGCGAACATAGCACAGTTCTCAACCAATTAGTATGCATATACTATCTAAGTTATACAATGATAACAAACATTATTAGTAATACCTGGCCGATGGCTGCACCAACACTACCAGTTCCATCAACTATACCAGTAACAGTAGCCAGTGCTTCACTATTTCCTCTAAGACTTGGCTAAAATAAATATATAAAACATTACTCAGGATTCAAAATTCCTGCAAGATAACTGGCTAAATGTGTGTTGAGAATTACAAATATGAATTAAGTAAAAATAAGAGGAACTTGCATAGAAAATAATGATATGTAAAGGAAAGAAAAATATAGTCTTTTGAAAAATAGTACAAATTTTTTTTTGATAAGAAGTTTGCTATTTAGTAAATAATCTCCCCCTAAACAATACCACAATGCAAATTCTACCCATATTTTCCCTCAACCTTGGAATGGCTGTGTGTTGTTTATCATAATAGCATGGGTGTCGTGGTGTACGGTAGGTCTGGGGGAGAGGGTGGGGATCAGTGGGAGTTTTTACGACATGATACAAGATGATATAAAATAAAAACTCTTGTGATCCTTAACATAATGTATCCCTACCTGTCTTCCTAAGTCAGCAGAAATGGCTGAACTTATCAGGTTTGCAGGACCTCCTATCATAAACCCTAAAAACACAAAATTTAATTTATCACATTAATTCATTTATTAAAAAACTAAAAATACTCAAATTGGACTTGATAACATTTAATAAGGGAGGAAAGCTTGCAAGAAACCAGCAATGCTGGAAACACTGACRTGGTCTAAACATAGCGGACTTTCTTAAGAATATCATAATATCATCTCGTCACTAGAATAGGGAGGGGAGTACGGGGTGGGGGGGGCACGTTTGCTTTCGGCACCAAAATTTAAGTTATACGGGATTCCTGTGGATTTGGTGGGAAAATGGTACATTGCCCACCTATAATGGACACCTCGCTATGCCCCTGAATCTCTTTATCTTTGCTATCTTTATCTAATACGGTAGAACAAGGGAATTTTCAAGCAGTTACTGAATAGAGTTTAGCTGCTATGATTAATTGAGGTATAAAATACTAGGGGGTGGGGGGGGGGGACATATTTGAGACTTTGACAACTGGACAATGTATAGAGGTTGGCTACTCAATAGGTTGCAGCTTATATAGGTTTCAACCCAACACTCATTACCTGTTAAAGTCATAACGCCAACATTGAGCTTATAATTAGATCCAGTACCTGTAAATATGATTAACATTGAGAATGAGAAGTATTTGAAATAACCTAGCATGAACTTTCTAATCAATGTTGAGTTCTTACGCTCTTTTTATTTTCCCATGTTTTAGGCTTTGCAAAGGGAGGTAAAATGACTTGTGAACTTGAAGAAAAACCGTAAATCGAGGGAAAGACCTAAAACCTCTACTCACGTGTGACACCAGAGACCCCAGAGACCCCAGACATTAGAAACAAATCTACTATGTTACCCTTTATTCCCATACTGTACAAGSAAATCTTAAATCATTTCGAGACTGTTGGAACATGTGTTATCTTACTTTTGTATCCAAACAGACAACCTATAGAGAGTATAAGCATAGTGACAACTACTGGTGCTCTGGATCGCATACTGTCCTGAATAAAGAATGAAATCACAACTTGATTAGTTTGGACATTAACTAAAATATAACAAATCAGCCTTTCTTGGCCACTTGACACATATTTCTCCCATCRGTTAGCTCAGTTGGTAAAAATAATCAACTCCTAAATTCCAATTTGATCACTGAATGAGGGCAACCGGTTTGTTAGCCACTGGCTATTAAGTGCTATCCTCGTGAAAAAAGGACTGTTTTTATAAGCATCATTCTGTTGTGGTTCAAGCCTTGGCCGGACCAATACTCAGGGTCTTAAAATAACTGAGGAGAAGGTGCTGCCTGTAATTACTTATGCAAATGGTAGACCTTCATGTGGCTTGGATGACCACTTTAAATGGCGGTTCTGTTTTTTACACCTCATACTTAACCATCCCTTGTTCATAATTCATTGTTAAGTGCCTTTGAACATATGGGTATGGAAAAGAGCGCTAAATTAAAAAAATATCATAATGATAATATATTGATATTAAAAAGGTAAACTCACTGTAATAAATCCAGCTATTGCTCCACCTAAACACAAATAATAATATAGAGAATAGTTAGCTCTACCAGTAATATTATAGTAATCACTGATCATTACTGGGGATTTTGATATTCTGCAAACTCCGACATTTCAACGGCTTGTTGTGAAATTGGATTTCCACTGCTGCTAGTCATAAATATAAGAGGTACCGACTGATTATTTTGATTGACAGCAGTGAAAGATAAAATTTCAGCATGCAGCTCGCAACTACCGAGTTCACAGTAGGTTTCTCACAGAATATTGAAAACTGCACTACCACAGCATTACCTGAGAAGGTATACTAATTTTGGTCTAAAAATACATACATCTGCAAGTAACCTTATCCTAAATCTTCACCATGTCCATGGCTCAAGAGAACCCCTGGGGGGTACTCTTGCCACTGAGCCCTCTGAAGTTCCCTGACCCTGTTCCAGAGTAAAATCGCTGAAATTCATACCCTGTTCCAGAGCAAGATCTCTGAAAACCATACCAAGGTCCTGTATTGTGAAAATAGATACCCTGTTCCAGAGAGGAGAGAGCGTGATTTCATATACCCCATGGCGGCACGTACCTGTATAGCAAATATAGGGGAGTACTCCCCCCCCCAGGAGAGAACCAGGCACTTGGTAGGACTTTGTCCATTCACTGGTCATTATTTTGAACCCTGGTACTAAATGTTACACTCACCAATGATACCACCAATATCGTAGAAGGTAGAAAGTTCATCTGCAACTGTGTCTTTCCAGTGAAAAGCTGGGGGAAAAGGATTGTTTGCAAGTTATTTTCTATCATAATTTTTTTTGTGTGTATGTATGTTTTTATGATTTCTGAAATGTTCTTTACCATTGGAAAGATAATATGGCAGCCAGAAGAAGAAGGAATAATTGACAAGCTTCAGGCAGGCATATGATAATGAGTACTAAAAAGAAAAAAAACGTTTGTTAAGTGAAAATATCCATACCTCCGAAAGGGAGGGAATTCATAAAAAGACCCCCCTACTCCTAGTAGAAACTTTTAATTTTCTTCCATACAAACTCTGTAATTTTGTTCTCTCTCTAACACTCCTCCACCCTGGAATGTCCAATTCCGTCCGTGAGTGGGGAATGGATATTTTCTGGAACTACACAATGAAAGTTCAAACTTGGTAATAATACTTTTTTCAAGGGAAATGTCATGAGTTTCTGACAACAAAATTCAACCACAAAACTAGGAAAAGTAATCAGGCTATGAGCTTTTAAAATGTAATGTTGTTTTATAATTGTTATTGTACAGCTGTAAGGGGGGGCGCCTTGCCGTGACCTAAGAGTCTGTTCGCCTGCCCCTCATTACATGCACACTGGATTGCTTTCTTTATTTACTTTTTTTGTTACAACTCAAGCATGATGAAAGCCTCTAAATAATGAATAAATAAAAGTTCATGACTAAAGCATTTGTCACCATTTCATAGATGGAAGTTGATTTTTGAGAATGGAAAACCAGACAAGCCTGAGGAAAACACTCATAACACAGGCAAGAACAAACAATCAAGAAACCCTATTCACATACAACACTGAGCCCYGAATTTGAACCTGGGTTGCATTGATGAGAAGTGGCCCATTGCTGCAACACACCTCCCAAAGATTAAAATAAATAAAATAATAATAATGGAATGATATATAAAATAAAACCAAAATGATTATACATACAGGGATGACTCCTGGTAGAAGCAAAGCTTGACAGAATCCAATGGCTTTCTTGTTTTCTTTGGGAGTAACAGACGATGACTAGAATATAAAAGAATAGAGAGTAAGAAATATCCACTTATTAAATACCCCAGTTTCAAAATCTCTTTTGTTCAGGGTAAGCCTTGATATTGTGTAGAATATTCATGTGTTCCTTGTATTGTTGAAATTGTTTTTCAGTTCGAACCCTGTGAGCTGCACCACTGCTGTACTTGCGGTGTTGATTAGAGATAATGAGTTGTTTTTTTAATTACTATTTTTTTACTTATTAAAACCATTGGTATCTGTGAATATTTTGATGCCGAAATTAGGTAACAGAAAAAACACAGTGAAATTCAACTTCAATATTCAATGAATGGTCTATTCAAAGGATTTGAATAAAAAACGTAAACCTTTTTTCTGTGCTCTGTTCAGTAATATACCGTAGCAAGCATGAAAGCATGAAACAAGTATGATATGAGTTACGAAAGGATTGTAAGCTGGAATAAATTAATAGTGAGTTACAATAGCAACTTTACCTGGAAAAGTGTATCTGGAAGGGAGTAAGGAGCTCTGTTTGGGTATGGCTGTTGTTGGTTGTCACCCTCAGTATCGCTAAAAACTATGATTCAAAGCAAGACAAATATTTATTACACTGAATTATACAATACATGTATTCGCATCAACCATGTTTTAGAAATTCATCTGCAATAGTTTTTAGATAGATAATGTTTTTACACTTTACGAATAGTACCCCCCAGCCAGGGCCAGCTTATACCACTGGCCTCTAAAGCGAAAGTCAGAGGCACTAACCACTGTTCAATAATATTATAATCATAGTTCAATAACTATCTTTGCAAAAGTGACCATAAACAATAGTTCCAGGTGAGGTTTAGACGTAATCTAACACAGAACTACCGGCAAGCAAATGAAAGCACTATAAGTTCACCCTCGCTTTGAGCCATTGATTTGCAATCACTTATATTACATATTGAAGTAAAGATGGAAGACATCTATCAATGATGTTTACTAGCCTGGCTGTCTCTCCTCTTCTGTGCTGTCATCCTCACAAGGCATAGGAAGACCTATTGGATGAAATAATAGCCAGTCAGTCCCCATTATGAATCAGCCAACAGAAGTAGCTTTAGCTTGGTCATATTTCTTTTCTAGCAAAACGTTACTTAAAATTAGCAAGGCTGAGATTTGATTGTACAAGTTCTAATCCTGACTGGCCGATATTTAAGCCTTGTGGCATTAGGTGGTGGTCTCTCCAAAAAAATCAACTTCTAAATTATGATTACTAAATGCTAAGTCATTCGTGACAGACAGTAAGAATAAATTTCATTTAGCACGTAGCGTCATACTGAAACCTTTTTGCGTGACAAGAAAATCATATCTCGGAAGTGGGCTATAGGGTTGTAAAACCTGTTATGCATTAAGACTTCCACCAAGGAGAGGCAAACACATTAGATTACAGGTAATCAAAGGTGTTGAATCACACATTCAGACTCACCAATGTCGGCAGGTGAAGGAACCAGACAAAAGAAGACTATAATACCCCCAGCAAACAGAATGACGGAGGGTAACATCATGGCATACTACAAAATAACAAAACAGTAAACAACAGTAATTTATTGTAAATTATCATCAACAACAACAACAAAATTAACAGATACTAATAAATTTATCATGTCATGTTCAATGAATTTTCTCAGTCTATCAAAGGCAAAATAGTTAAATGTGTAATAAGAAAGTTTTACTATAATAGGTAATAAGAAGTTAACTATAGTACAAAGTATGATGGTACAGTAGCTGTGATTCTCGGCATTTGAATACAGTTATTAGACATCCTTACCTCATAACCATAATTCAGGACTGACGCAGCCTAATGATCACAAAAACAAAGACATTTATGTTAGAAAAGGTTTATCATTACTTAAAAAGGAATTTGACAAAACAGGCTTAATGCAAGCACAAACACAAGTGCAAATGCTAGTAAGAGCACAGGCATCAGCATTTTTTTTCTTGCTCTGGCATTTGCGCTTAGGCTACTAGTGAAAACTAGGCTTAATGAATGCAAGATGTGTTTGGAGTTGTCTGCAAGCAATTGTAACACGTACCTCAAATGCACCAATAATGTTGCCAACTGATGCGCAAGCACTCCAAAGTCCAAAAACAAAACCACGACTGAAAAATAAATTGAGTTTGATGAGGGAAGATATCAAATGCAGGACCAGAGAAGGAAACCCTTGTGTCCATGCCCGTTAAACCCTAGTGTCCCTGACAAACATTTTACATGATTGTATTTAACCCTTGCAATATGTTAAATGACAATAACCCTTGTGTAAGAAAGAATATTGGCTCTTTCTGCTGCTAAGACTTTTTGCCTCTGCTTTATTTAAGTTCATTCAAACACATTTACTTCCAACAATATAATATGAACTGGAAGTGAAATGAATGGAAGGTAATTTTAAGACCCAAGTCCTCCTGCTACCCAAGGGAAGGTGTGTTTTTTATCAGGGGAGGGGAGGGGGATTATCAGTAAACGTTTTTTTAGATGGTCGCAGCCCTGATTCCCCTTTTACTCTGTAAGAAGTACAGTACCCTCCTACATGTATTAAGTCAGCTTTCTTCAAAATAAAAAGGTTTAAACCTCCACAAAAGTTCAATTTGTAAACAGTGACCCTGATCTCCTTCACTAAGAGATGTACCTTCCCTTAATTTTGAGAGCAAAATATTGATCAGATAATACATATATTAAAAAAATTTCCAGAATAGCCCATTTTTAAATTAGAGAAATACCACATTTTCTTGATTGCATTGTCAAAAATACAAAACTTCAACAATACAAACACTTTGAAATTCCAAAGGCCTTCACTGAAATGCTAATATTCAAAATAATTTTGGTATACAAAGTGAACTCAGAATAAGCCTGAAGCAAGATGACGTTTTACCCCTGACTCAATACCATAATAGTTTTTGAAATTCTTATCATATTAAAATTTTTGATTCCTTAGAGAATACAGGAACAATAGTCATAATTAAAGAACAAAAGCAATGTGAAAAGGATTATGGTCTAGAGA